CAGATCTGGGCTGTTGATCATCCTCTTCCCTCGTCCAGCATATTCTGTAGTAAGTACTTTCACCCTTAAAAACACACTTCTCCATTGCAAGTGTCCCTATTTTCCAGGGACAGTCCCAGATTTACAGAATCATACCTGTCTTCATTGGAGAACTGTTGGATGTTGGAGGGTATGGAGTTATGCAGCCCCTGAACCAAGGAGATAAGTAACTTTACAACCTCTAGAAGACACCTGAAGGCAGCCCTGTATAGGGAAGTTTTTGGACATTTTTTGCTTTCTTATTTTTTTTATATATGTTGGAAGCAGCCCAGAGTGGGTGGGGCAACTCAGTAAGATGCAGGGTATAGATATAAAATGTTGTTGTTGTTGTTGAATAGGGTGCCCCTATTTTCATCGGATAAATGTTGGAAGGTATGCCATTGTCTCCCGAGACAGATAGATGCCAACTACAACTCACTGAGAAATGGGAGAATTACATATTGAAAGGAGCCACCTCTTTTTAAACAGCCCACACATTTGCTTCTGTGCGGAGGTAGTACGTTCAGGAGAACCAGGATATTATTAGGCCTCTTGCCCAAAATGTTGTTGATCAGCCACTCAAAGGGCACATTTGAATCATCTAGAGTTTCTAGAGACTACAATGGTACCTTGGTAGTCAAACACCTTAGTTATCAAACAGATCAGCTCTCGAACGTCGCAAACCCAGAAGTGAGTGTTCCAGTTTGTGAACGTTTTTGGGAAGCTGAACGTTCGAAGCTCCTGCAGCCAATTGGAAGCCGCGCCTTGGTTTTTGAACCGTTTTGGGAGTCGAATGGATTCCCAGAATGGATTAAATTCAAGAACCAAGGTATGAGTGTAGTTACAAAATTTTAAATGCCCACCTCGCACATGTCCCCTTGCATTTGGGAGAAAATGAACATCGCTAAAAAAAATATGTCCTAAGGTGGCTGAAAAAATTCCTGAAAGGCAACATGCTCTATTTCCCAGTCTCTTTTCCCTCAAACTTTCCTAATGGCAACCTTAATTATCCATGAGAGCCAACCAATATTTTTACCACCCATTCGAATAAATGAAGCCAGTAAAAAGTCTACTGTCTGCAGAACTGAGTAGCAGACTTATGTGTTTTATTACACTAAAACTTCAGCGTCGTTGCATTTACCACAAAGGATTCTGGGTGGATTTGGAACTAATCATTGTACAGGGTTAGTATACAGCCCAATGTTATCTGAATAAACAGGGAAACATATGCTGTTAGTTTGCTCTAAGAACAGTGCCTGCTTCAAGAAGTTTCAAAAGGAAATGCAAGTTCCCACACCCAAGTAAAATAGCAGTGTGCAAAAAGCAGTGGCTGTGATTCACGCAGAAGATACCTGCAGTAGCGGGTGACACAAACCCTCCAAGTGTCCTAGAATCATAGAATCATAGAGTTGGAAGAGACCACAAGGGCCATCGAGTCCAACCCCCTGCCAAGCAGGAAACACCATCAGAGCACTCCTGACATATGGTTGTCAAGCCTCTGCTTAAAGACCTCCAAAGACGGAGACTCCACCGCACTCCTTGGCAGCAAATTCCACTGTCGAACAGCTCTTACTGTCAGGAAGTTCTTCCTAATGTTTAGGTGGAATCTTCTTTCTTGTAGTTTGGATCCATTGCTCCGTGTCCGCTTCTCTGGAGCAGCAGAGAACAAATAGTCTAGGGACAGTCCCAGAATTACAAAAGCCACCCCAGCTTCCAATTTGATCCTGGAATGTCCCTATTTTCTCCACCAGTATTGGATACCCAGTAGTGATGTATGGAAGTGAGAGCTGGACCATAAAGAAGGCTGATCGCCAAAGAATTGATGCTTTTGAATTATGGTGCTGGAGGAGACTCTTGAGAGTCCCATGGACTGCAAGAAGGTCAAACCTATCCATTCTGAAGGAAATCAGCCCTGAGTGCTCACTGGAAGGACAGATCGTGAAGCTGAGGCTCCAATACTTTGGCCACCTCATGAGAAAAGAAGACTCCCTGGAAAAGACCCTGAAGTTGGGAAAGATGGAGGGCACAAGGAGAAGGGGATGACAGCGGACAAGATGGTTGGACAGTGTTCTCAAAGCTACCAGCATGAGTTTGACCAAACTGTGGGAGGCAGTGGAAGACAGGAGTGCCTGACATGCTCTGGTCCATGGGGTCACAAAGTCGGACATGACTAAACGACTAAACAACAAAATTGGATACCTGTGCTGAACCACTGAACTATGGACACTTCTGCACATCTTCTGCTTTGATAAGGCTCCCAAAGAGCTCCTCTAAAAAGAAGCACCAGGCGTTTGACTCGGTGCACAACCAATTACAGCTCTTGTCAGGGAAAAGGGGCCTGAACAGAGGTACAAATGTCTCAAGCACAGCTGAGAAATGCCCTGAAATCTTGAGGGGATGAGGATGGCATAGATAAGCGGTTCCTTGACGGAGCCTTGTGGGAGGCTCACACCGCTTGTTAGCAACGGTGACTCATAAAAGCTCCCCAAAGGTGCTGTGAGGAACCTAGTCAACAACTTCCCTCATCACTTGTAAGCACACAGGTACTCTGCTCCAACGTCAAAGGAAGTGGGATATGGATCCGGAAGTGGTTATTAAAATTAGCTCTTAATTCTGTTTTTGCATGTTGCTTCTGATGTGTCTGAGGCTGACAGCTCCATATGCATGTTTGTTTACATCCTTTTTATTAAAATGAATGGGGTGTTGGGGGGGTAGCATCTTTGGTGGGTGACACATCATGCTTCTGGTGTAGTTTGTCCACCTTTGACCTTGTATTCAGCTCTCAGATGTGGCTTCTAGAAGCTACCAGCATGTGACAGCGGTCACACCTTGGGAAACGGCTTCGACTGTTGGACTAAAGCAGGTGTGGGTATCTGATAGGTCTTGAACCTTCAGTGAGTTAGGGACTTCTCCTGCATGCAAAGAAGGGCTCTGGTGGATTGAGCAGACAGGACCAATAGGGGGTCCAGCAGCCGAAAATGTGGTTATAGCATGTGGTGTAAAGGGAAGTGAGGGGAAGATGGGACTTGTCAACCTAGGAAGGTAGCCCATCTAGAAGGAAAACTCTGATCCTAAACCTGCCTTGCACAATATCTTTGGGAGAAGAAAAGGCTCAGGAGTAAACCCTACACAAATCCAGAGCGAAGTCCCTAAGGCCGTTGGATGGCATCTTGTACGCCTCCTTCCAGCAACTCCTGCAGCCAAGCTGGTGCCAAACACATTGTTCTGCTTTCCTTTGGACCACATCAGCAAAGCCAAGAGGGGGGTCTTGTTGCTTGGATAGCCCAGGACCTCCATGCACCCTGCCCAGGCTTCAGTGCTGACAACACAGCAGTTTTTGACTTCACCCCCAGAGGCGCACTCCATTGTCTCTCGAAATGGATTGATGCCAGCGACAACATTTATATACCACCTTTTCCTTAAGTGAGTTCAAGAGCAGTTGGGACGTATTATTTTGGAGCTAAATCCCACCCCAGAGAGAGGGAAAGCTACATTCTAGTGAAAGTGGCTTCCTTATTTACTCAAAATGAGCATCCCATGCTGTCTTCAGAATCGCATGTAGCTTCTCTCTCTCTAGCAATAAAACCAAGGTGGCTGTATAGGAAACGGAACCCCCATGCTCACCCCAAACCTGGAGCCATTCCCCCACTAAAAAACACTCACAACAGACCATTACATTTTAATGTTATTTGTTATGTCCAGCAAAGGAACTGATATGATTGCGAGAGGAAATCTCTTGGAAGGAATGAGAGGAATTTAATAAATAATAATAATAAAAAATACACAGACAGTGCAAAATAATAATAATAATATGCCAGCGATGAAAGGGTCAAGAAGCCCCTCTCCCTCCTTCGCACAAGGATTCTGCTTCAAACTGCAGCCCCTTTGGCTGCCTGCGGGGGGGGGGCGGCAAAAACCAGGGGCTGATGGGAAATCAGGACTTGGACCTCTTTACAAGGTTTGGCCCTCGCCGAAGTGGTCAAGCGGTGACTGGGCCGCGGCACCCGGAGCTCCACGCAGCCCGGCCGAAAGAGACGAACCAATCTCTCCCCCGCTCCACCAAGCAGCGTCTACACGCGGGACGCGCAGGGATGAAGCGCAGGCGTCTCCCACCTTCTCTCCGGCACGCAGGGGAGGGCCGTTCCGCCGAGGGAGCCCCTCCTTCGCGCGCCCCCCCCACCTGAAACGTGAAGAAGTGGTACATCCCAGGCCGGGCGCGAGAGCTTGCCCAATCCCGGACTGGCCCACTCAGAAGGGAGCGCCAAGGATGCGCTCAAGGGCGCGCGAAGCCCTCCTCCGGGACCGTGGCGAGGGTGGTCGAGAAACCGCGCCTCCACACGCGCCCCCTCGTTTGCGCGCGGGTCTGAGACCCGAGTCATTGGGCTCACACGTTTTTGTTATGCGTGTAGAAGCCTCGTCCGCTGCGATAAGCGGGGAAAGAGCCCTGTGGCTCCGCGGCCATCGCCTTCCCCGCCGCGCGCCCCCACCCTCCCTATTCCCTCATTCGCTGGGCAGCCGCGCTCGCTCGCGCTCTCGTCTCCATCGTGAAGCGCGCGCGCGCGCGGGGCTGCCCGTATATGTGTGTGTGTGTGCGCGCGCGCGCGCGAACGCGCATGAGTACGAGCGTTCTGTCCCCGCCCCCTTTCCCCTCCTCTCCTCTCTCAATCAGTGCAGCTGTCGCTGTGCGGGCGGGCATCGGAGGGGGCGGGCAGGCCGGCTGGCTGGCTGCGGATTCCTGCCGTCCACTCCCTTGAACCCCTCCTCCTCCTCGCTAAACGCCACCCGCCGCCATCCATTGCTAGCCTCCTCCTCTGCCGCGGAGCCGCTGCCTGCTGCTCGGATCTCCTCTTTTCTCAGCCTGCCCCCTCCCTCCCTCCCTTCCTCCTTCCCCCTCCCTCCTTCTCTCTGCCAGCTCCAGCCAGAGAGGCTGCTGCTTCTTCTCGCTGCCTCTTGCTGCTGCATCATCACCATCACCACCATCATCATCGCCACCCACCCACCTCCTCCTCCTCCTCCTCCTCCTGCACTTCGCCGCCGCCGCCGCCACTGCTGAGAGAGAGGGAGCGCGCCGCATTGCATACAAGGGCGAAGGAGATCGGACCCCCCCCCGGCCCCCCACCAGCACCACCACCCTCGCCAGGAGAGGTAGGCGATTTCCTTTCAGCTTTGCTAAACCGAGCGAGAGGGCTATGCGTAGATTTGGGGGTGGGGTGCGGGGGTTGCCTTCCCCTTGCGGATCGCAGAGACGTTGGCACTCGGTCGCCGATCTCTGTCTGGGTGGCTGGTGGCGCTGCGTGGAAAGGGGCCGCGGTGGCGCTGCAGCGGCTGCGGGTGATGGGGGAGCCCTTTCCGCAGGGACGAGATCGCCCTCCCTCGAGGGTCACGGTGCCCGGCGGGCGAGGAGGAGATGCCTCTCTCCTGCGAATAAACGCTTCCAGCATTGCGCTGTTGCAGCAGCGTCGCGACGAGGGCTAACTTAGCCCCCCTCGCTTGCTGTCTCGCCCCGTTTCCCCGGGACGATCGGTGGGGACCGAGGTCTGGCACTGAGGTTGATCCAGGTCCGGGAGAGGCGGGTGACACCAAGCCGGAGACGGCGCAATAAAAGGAGACGCGGCGGCGCAGCATCCCCGGCGAGCGACCTGGGCGGCTTGCTGGTTCGCGTAACGGTCCGTGGGTTGCAAAACAGGCGTGGTCGGTTGCTCCCTGGTCTTCCTCATTGTCTCCCTCCTCCTCTTTGCACCCAGTGGCTTGGAAGAGAGGGACTGGTGGTCAGGCAAGCGTCCTCCCCCCCCCCTTTCATACTTCAACAGGTTTGTGCAAATGGATCCATTTGGGGAACAGAGGTGGAAAGCGGATTGGGAGGGGCTTATTCTTCCTGATCATAATAGGCATTTAAAAAGTCGCCCCCCCATTGATTTACCTATTTGTATTAGATGTGAGGACACCCCCCACCCCCACCTGTCCCTCACCTGCCTCCATTGCGATTTCTCCCTTGGGGAGGTCTTTATTATTTTCGGAAGCGGGAGTGTGCGTGCGTCAAAGGTTGGGGGAAAAGAATCTGGATCAGTCGTGTGTCTTAAATTATTTTACTTCTCCACCAACGCCCCCCCCCAAATATTTCTCTCTCTTTTTTGATGCCTGGGCAGAAATGCAGCAAAATGCATCCGAATCCCTCCCTCCTTCTCTGGGACACATTTTGCATGAAAATCTCTCTCTCCCTCCCTCCCTCCCTTCCTCCCTTGGGCATTACCACAGCCCCACCCTGCAGAAAACCAGGTCCAGTTTCCCCTCCCCCTTTCCCTTAATGCCAAGGGGACAGGATCGCTACTGCTTTGTCACTGGAAACCTTTCCCACCCATCCTCTCCGCCAGCCCCCACCCCCCACCCCACAACCCCAGCTGTCATATTATGCAGATATCTCTATAGGAACTGTTGGCATTTCCACTTCTTCCACCAGCAGCAGCCCCATTCCCCGCCCCACGGTCTCTTGCAACGAAGAGGGGAGTAATGTGATTGCAGCCCTGCAGATCTAATGCGGTCAGATGGGAGTCCAGCCTGCAGCTGTGGAAGATTAATCTGATACTACAAAAAGTAGCGCCATAAGGGAGGGGTTGCATTAGGGGGAGAGTGTTGTGCATGGCGAGAGGCGATGGCTGGGCATTTCCCTTCGCATCCGGACTGTTCTGCAGGCCGCTGGAAGGAGCCCAAGGCGGAGAAGTCAATCCCAGCTGGGTGTTGTGGGTGAAAGTGCCCTTCCATATTGGAAAGGATAGCAGGTTCCACTTAACCGCTCCTTTTGCTCCGGAGGAAACGGTCGTTTCGCCCGTTGCCCTTTCACGTGAAACTCCAGGTGACACCACAAAAAAATTATCAAAATTAAAATGGTGCAATTGATTGTTGAAATAGATCGTGCTCATAGCTGCGTCTCAGAGAAAACTACATCCGGATAGCCATTTATTTCCATTTGACGAGGGTATATATTTTTTCTGTCTGGTGGTGCTGTACGTTATTTGAAGAGGAAGAAATCAGCAAGTTGCGTTTAAAGGTGTTAGTGCTGTACCCATTTTTTTTTCCTGATCGTTGGAAGAATTACTTTGTCCTGTTTCTTATTGCTTTTGCTGATCGTTTTATGGACTTTGCTGGGGGATGGAGAACAGAAATCCTACATTATTACAACTATCACTTAATTATTCACCATCATAAAAGGCACCGGATTCTGTGTATTCCTTGCAAATTTAGACCGTGGATGCTAACTGGGCCAACACTGTGTCGGGAAAAGAAGGCACACTTGAGAGATTAAAAGCAGAGCAGACCGGTCTCTGAGAGACAGACTCCCTGACAGCTACATTTTATTTTTATTAGCTTTGACAAACCTTATCCAGGGTAAGCCTTGCCGTAGAGTAGCAATGTGCAACCTCTGCATAGCTCTGTTGAAGTATTCAAAGTGCTTCTTGTGCTTTATCTTGTTGTAATTCTTACAACCACCATGGAAAAAAGTCAGAATTACTAATATTCACCACAATGCAGATGGAAGGAGTGAAGCTGAAAGTGCCTAAGGCCATGTAGTCTGTCCATGGCAGTGAAGCTTCCTAATTCACCACAGCTCTTTGGATATCCAAATTGCATTTCATAGAATCATAGACTTGGAAGGGACCACAAGGGTCATCTAGTCCAACCCCATGCAATGCAGGAATCCTTTGCCCAGCATGGGGCTTGAACCCACAACCCCGGGATTAAGAGTTCAGTGCTCTACCGACTGAGCTATTCCACCTGTCATTTATGTAATTTCAGAATGTAGCGAACTGGATGTTGTTGTTTTATTGTTCCGGCTCTCTCTTCTGACAAATTTCTTTTTTAAAACCCTTGCAATTTTATTGTTTACCCTTGCATTAAAATGCGATAGGGATCCTCCTCCTCTCCAGACTTAATCCACTCAGGCCTCTGTGGGCTTATGGCAAGATTGTTCTGCAGCATAAATATTGAATGAATCGACAGGATGTGCCGGGAAATGGAAAAAACAGAGAGCAGCCTCTTAGGGTGCTTGGAGATGCATAGGAGAGGTGACTTTTTATTAGTGAGTTTAAGTGACTGAGTACTGCTGTTCTTTTATGATAGCTAGGACTGGAACCTCCATGTTCCAAGGCACTATATCATTGATTATGAGGCAGCAGGGTCAAACAGCTAGAGGTGACCTAGCTCCATCATGCCCTCTCTTGTGATCTGCTGTGTGGCCCTTGACTGAGCTCTGTTGGACACAGAGAGCTGTGCTAGACGCATCTTTTGTCTGGCTCAGCAAGGCCAGTTTGGCTTTTAAGTGCAGCCGTCACGGTTTCTCTATTGGAAATTGATTGGAATAGAGCATTGTTTTTTCCAGCCCGTGTGTTATTTGTCTCAATTAGATGCAGCTTCTCAGCACAAACGGTGCGCTGTGTGGTGTGACCAACGCATGCACACAGGCGGAGGGCCACACGGATTTAAAGCCAATAGATTGTTTGCAGTTTTATTTTAAGAAACGGCATCAGTGCGACGGCGTCACGGGGGACCATTGGCGTTTTGAGTAAGAAACCAGGTGCAAAATCACCAGCTGAGAAAAACACTTGCATGCGCTCCGATGCCTCGAGGGTGAGAGAAACAAGTGTGCGGTGATGGCAGCAGGGGCGGCAGCTAGCAGAAGCGAGCAGGCAAGGGATCTTGGTCCTTGCAAAGCAGAGAAAGATTTTAATGTGAAGCTAGAGCAAGCGGTAAAGATTTTCCTGGACTGTACCGCTTCATGTTCCTGTTGGTAATGATGGTGGCTTGTGTGTGTGTCAGGGGGAAATCCTCTTTGGGCTTGCACTTAAAAACAAACAGCCTCAGCACAGTCGCAGGGAGAAAGCTGGGCTGACCGCTTCTTTTTCACACACGAGTTTTCTGCATGCAAATTTCCCCCCTTTTTGTTCAGTGGAGAATTCAGACATAAAACTCATCATCTGATGCCTGAACTGTGTCCAAATAAAGCTTCATGGATTAGTTCAAATGCACATGTAAATGCACGTATTTTTGTAAACTAAGAAATCTTGAATAAAGGTGTGGTTTTTTTAATGCATATGTGAATGACGTAAATTAACTGGACAGTCATGGTGGCACAAAGGGGTTTGGTTTTCCTGGGGTGCATCCGTGGCTACTGGAGTTATCAACTTGGTGACCATGCAAACCAGCTGTCTTGCTGGGCAAGTTATAAACAATACCTTCATGACATGACATAAGCTTGAGTTGTGCATGTATTGCTATGATGTTTTATCCTGCGTTTTATCCTTGTAGCTGCTTAATGCAGATCTGAACCTTAAACATAACACTTAAACTTCGGCAGAGCAATTCAGTCATCTACACACAGTTAAAACGACTTTGTGAATTTTGTTTTTATTGTTCGTTTTAAATATTGTATTAATATTTGCAATCTTTGTGTATACCATCCTGGAATCCATGTTTGGGACGAAGGCACGATTTAGCAACTTTCCAAGTAAAACGTTTGATAAGTAAAAAAAAAAAAAGATTTGAAACATTTGAAAAAGCAAGATATATGTCAGTGATCTGTATGACAACCCTGCAAGGTAGATAATAAAATCATAGAATTTATGTATGAAGGGACCCCAAAGGTTCTCTAGTCCAACTCCCTGCAATGCAGGAATCTCAACTATTAGCTTTTCTATCGTCTCACAGCCACCCCCTGCCCAAATCACTGCTTGCTGGCTCCCCCAATCTTGCTTATCAACATCACCCACTCACCATCAAGGTGAGGCAAGGAAGCAGCAACTGAAAGCCATCTGCCATTTTGTTTACCCATAATGCCCCAACATATTGCCAACATGGCATTGTGGGAAATTCAAAATGAAAGACGGTATACTAGACGTTGGGAGAAGGGCAATGACAGGCCTAGACAGCATCTTGAGAAGTAGAGACGTCACCTTGCCAACAAAGGTCCGTATAGTGAAAGCTATGGTTTTCCCAGTAGTGATGTTTGGAAGTGAGAGCTGGACCATAAAGAAGGCTGATCGCCGAAGAATTGATGCTTTTGAATTATGGTGCTGGACTCTTGAGAGTCCCATGGACTGCAAGAAGATCAAACGCATCTATTCTTAAGGAAATCAGCCCTGAGTGCTCACTGGAAGGACAGATCGTGAAGCTGAGGCTCCAATACTTGGGCCACCTCATGAGAAGAGAAGACTCCCTGGAGAAGACACTGATGCTGGGAAAGATGGAGGGCACAAGGAGAAGGGGGCGACAGAGACGAGATGGTTGGATAGTGTTTTCGAGGTTACCAGCATGAGTTTGACCAAACTGCGGGAGGTAGTGGAGGACAGAGGTGCCTGGCGTGCTCTGGTCCATGGGGTCACGAAGAGTCGGACACGACTAAACGACTAAACAACAACAACATACTAGACGTGGATTCATCTTCTGCCACCAAATGATCCCATGGGTGGGGGAATGTTTGAGTGGGAGGCCCAAGGCAGGTGACAAATCCTGTGACCTCGCCAATGCCCTTGAGCCCCAGGAGCTGTCAAAGGGTGACACCTGATAGACGCCAGCTGATGTCAGAAGCAAGATTCAGAGCTTCCTAGTCTGCAGCTCCTTTTCTGGGCTTGCAGTCCTAGCCATGCCTACCCCGAATTCAAGTCCTGCTGAATTCCATGGGGCTTACTCCCAGGTAGCTGGGGTTAGGGTTTGCAGCCTTAGCCACTGTGGTGAGCGTCGCTTACTGAAATAGATGCCATTTATGGCTTGGGAGCATTGATAGCTGAATGGCGAGAGCTATTCGTGTGGCATTTTCTCATTGAAAGGAAAAAAGGAATGAGTATTATATTGAGGGGAAGGAGGTCATGGTTGTGGTTTAAATGTTTTCCAGCATCTTCCCAGCCATTCACCATGTAAATCCATGCCACTGAAGATGAATTTTCACGGATGTGCGGGTCGTTGTACCCTGATTTCCGGGATCAGTAGACGAGGGGATTGTTGGCCATTTTCTTCTGGGAACCAGTTGAGAAAGTCACTTCCCCCCCTGCTGATGTGTTTGGAAAATGTCTCAGTGAGGTTATGGAAAATCCAGCAGAAGTCCCATGGGTGACCCCACATGCTCACATTGTCACACATTCTCTCTCTCTCTCTCACACACACACACACAAAATCAGAATTTGAGATGCATACATTCATTGAACACTTTCCCTTATCTTGGGACTAGTCTTTGTAGTTTTTAAGGAGGAAGTCTGGTGATAGTTCCTGTGACATTTAGATTTTGCACTCTGTGTTTAGAGGTAGGGTGTTTTTTTTTTTTGTTGTTTTTTTTTGCTTTTTTAATGACAGGGCAAGAACTTGCCCTGTGTATGAAAACATTTAGAATCAGGGAAACCATGTAGACTGAGAGGAATGAAATCTTACAGGCTGTATTCATCTTCCCCCTACGCCCACTCTGTTCCTGTTTAATGCTAGACACCTTGAGAATGCTCCTTGTAGAAAGGGGAAACAACAACAGTTTCTCCACCTTGGCCAATACTGCCTACTTTGACTGGCAGCATTGCCTACTCTGGCTGGCAGCAGCTCTCTGTAGTCAAAGGAGATGCCAGGGAGTGAAAGCATGTGCCCTGTCACTGACCTATGGTCCATTAATGCATATACAGTACCGTATTTTTTGCTCTATAAGACTCACTTTTTCCCTCCTAAAAAGTAAGGGGAAATGTGTGTGCGTCTTATGGAGCGAATGCAGGCTGCGCAGCTATCCCAGAAGCCAGAACAGCAAGAGGGATTGATTGCTGCTTTCACTGCACAGCGATCCCTCTTGCTGTTCTGGCTTCTGAGATTCAGAATATTTTTTCCCTTGTTTTCCTCCTCCAAAAACTAGGTGCGTCTTGTGGTCTGGTGCGTCTTATAGAACGAAAAATATGGTACTTGCATCCAGATAAGTGTAAGCAGGATCGCAGCTTAAAACTTTAAAAAAAAAAAAATAAGAATCTTGAAGTGCCCATATATCTTATCTAATATTGCCACGGTGAGCTTGTAGCATGGATACAAACTGCAGCAATCCTACCAGTTGTAACTTACAAGCTACAGTGTATTTGTCTAACTCAGCACGGTCTTACAACGTCTCCTATAAAGTTTCCTATAAAATGGACACAAATCAAACTCGCCCCAGAAGGTTCCTGGTGGCTCAGTGCCCAAACTACAGTTCCCAGTGCTTCCCCCCCCCTCTGAGAAATTTCTGCGGAAGGAGGCTCCGATGGTCAGATCTCCCATCTCGCTTTTCCTGGAAAACATCCAATGGAAATGTGTACTTGGTTCTGGAGAGCTAAAGAAGCAAAGCACGTCCGCAGCTAGAGGGACACGTTTTATATAAGGCAGGAATACAGTCGTAGCTTGGTTGACGAATGCCTTGGGATGTGGCTGCCGCGGCTTCCGATTGGAAGCTCCTGCAGCCAATTGGAAGCCCGTGCCTTGGTCTGTGTAGAGTATGCATAGATACACCATTAAAACACACCGATAAATCAATTTATACATATATACCTTGAGATACAGGCTATTGGATCCTGTCTCAACTCTGGTGGCAGGGCAATGTCCTCAACAGCCCCCGAGAAGAGCAGGCAAAGCTTGCCTGTACTACCTGGTCTGGCCTGCGCTCCCTAGACAGCATCGGCCCTCCAGATGTTTTGGGACTACAACTCCCATCACCCCTAGCTAACAGGACCAGTGGTCAGGGATGATGGGAATTGTAGTCCCAAAACACCTGGAAGGCCGAGTTTGCCTATGCCTGCTCCAGGTAACCCGGGAAGTCAGGATGCAAAACCTTTAAATAAGAAAAGAAAGGTGTAGATGGTTCTATAGTTGTGTGACTTTTTTTTTTTTAGCTTGCTAATGAAAGGTGGGAGTTCTGGTGGCTGTGAAAGAGAGGGATTTATATAGAGAGAGTTTTAATTATGAGAAGGGGAAATAGTTCAGCTGCCACCTGTATGGTCAATAGTTGTGGTTCTCTTCCCAAGGGCAAATCAGGGTTGGAGAGTTATTCGAGACACTCTCTCTAATCCACACAAACTTTCTTTGCTGAGACATGGCATGTTGTTGTTGTTTAGTTGTTTAGTCGTGTCCGACTCTTCGGACCCCATGGACCAGAGCATGCCAGGCCCTCCTGTCTTCCACTGCCCCCCGCAGTTTAGTCAAACTCATGCTGGTAGCTTCGAGAACACTGTCCAACCATCTCGTCCTCTGTCGTCCCCTTCTGCTTGTGCCCTCCATCTTTCCCAACATCAGGGTCTTTTCCAGGGAGTCTTCTCTTCTCATGAGGGGGCCAAAGTATTGGAGCCTCAGCTTCAGGATCTGTCCTTCCAGTGAGCACTCAGGGCTGATTTCCTTCAGAATGGAGAGGTTTGATCTTCGTGCAGTCCATGGGACTCTGAAGAGTCTCCTCCAGCACCATAATTCAAAAGCATCAATTCTTCAGCAATCAGCCTTCTTTATGGTCCAGCTCTCACTTCCATACATCACTACTGGGAAAACCATAGCTTTAACTATATGGACCTTTGTTGGCAAGGTGATGTCTCTGCTAATATACCTCCCTGTTTAAACCAGATTTTTCTCCTTCTGCAGACCATCTTTTTTAAAAAAACACCCTGTTGCCAACAGCCCATTTGCACTATCCCTGTGAGCAATCTGTAATGTTAAGCCCTCGAACGGAAGCACCATGATTCAAGAGGCAGCATTAAGCCATTCTGGCTACTAGCCATTATTAATAGTCTTAGCCTCGATGAAATTGTCTATTAAAAAAAAATAGCAAAGAAAACTAGAAACTCTTTCTCCCTTAGATCAAGGGAGTTGTGTTTTTTTGCAATGGAGGAGGTTTTTGTAATGGGCCCAGTCTGATGGGCGGGGTACAAATATTATTACAGTCATACTTGGAAGTCAAACGGAATCCATTCCGGAAGTCTGTTTGACTTCCAAAACGTTCAGAAACCAAAGCGTGGCTTCTGATTGGCTGCAGCCAATCAGAAGCCACGGAAGCCCTGTCGGACTTTCGGCATCCAAAAATAGTTTGCAAACTGGAACAGTCACTTCCGGGTTTGCGGCGTTCAAGAGCCAAAGCGTTCAAGAACTAAGCTGTTCGAAAACCAAGGTACAACTGAATAATAATAATAATAATAATAATAATAATAATAATATGTAAACCTCAATTTGCAGTATGAAGAGGCACAAGCCAGACACAGGTTTGCCACCTCAATGAGAGCTAAACATCTTCTGTCCACACAGCTGTGGAGCATGTCTAGCAATCACCTGTGTGCCTTTTCAGAAACATCTGGATTTTAAAAATCCGCACACTTGGTTTCCTAAACAATGGGAGTGGTGTTGGGGTCACTCCAATGACATAATTTCTTCCAGATGTTCTGAGGGGAATGGAGTTTGTTAAAGATAAAACCGCACGGCAAAGATTACAGACAGAAACACAGCTGAAACAGCACAGCTTAAGGACAGGGGTGGGAAACACCTTTCAGCCTGGAGGCCATATTCTCTTCTTGGCAACCTTTTGGGGGGGGCGGAGGAAATGCGCGCAGAGCAAGGGGTGTAAATTTTACCTTTGTACAGCAGGCTAGTTTACACACGCACTTGGGCATCTCTCTCTATACTCTCCGTCCGGATAAACAAGCTGGAATACCAGAGTTCAAGGACACATTCCAGCCAGGCAAAAACTCTCAGTGTACAAATCCAGGACCGGCGAGGGGTGTGGCCTATGGAGAGTTCAGAGGGCCACATAGAGAGGCCTTGAGGGCCACATCCGGACCCTTCTTCAGAACTTAGAATCATAGAATTGTAGAAGGGACCTCAAGGGACCTCAGCTCCAACCCCCTGCAATGCTGGCATCTTTTGCCCAATGGGGGGATTGAACCCATGACACTGAGATTAAGATTCTGATTCTCCAGCGACTGAGCTATCCCAAGGAACACATGTGAGACTAAGGAAGCAGCTGGGCCGGTTATTAAGCAGGAAGGCTGGCAAGTGGTAGACATCTGGCCTGGCTGAGGTCTTATCTGCTGCCACCCTCTTTGTGTTTTTTTCCTTAGTGTACCTGCAGTCAGTTCTAGTGGAATACATTGCAGTTTAGGTAAAGGTAAAGGGACCCCTGACCATTAGGTCCAGTCATGACCGACTCTGGGGTTGCGGTGCTCATCTTGCTCTATAGGCCGAGGGAGCCGGCGTACAGCTTCCGGGTCATGTGGCCAGCATGCCTAAGCCACTTCTGGCGAACCCGAGTAGCGCACGGAAATGCTGTTTACCTTCCCGCCAGAGTGGTACCTATTTATCTACTTGCACTTTGACGTGCTTTCGAACTGCTAGGTTGGCAGGAGCTGGGACCGAGCAACGGGAGCTCACCCTGTTGCGGGGATTTGAACCGCCGACCTTCTGATCGGCAAGTCCTAGGCTCTGTGGTTTAACCCACAGCACCACCCACGTCCCTTGCATTTCAGTTTACTTTGGCACAAAACTGGGTAGAGAGCCAGGTGTTGGTGGATGCCAGCTTCTGTCAGCTGCAGCCAGCATGGGCAATGATCAGGGAGGTTGGGAGCTATTGCCCAGCATCTGGTGTGTCATAGGTTCCCCATCTTTGGATGGTAGAATTTAAACCTGTGTGTCCCCTGGGTGTTTCTGTTGGGATGCCGTGATACTGATAATGGCCGTGCATCCGAAGAACATTTGCTGATTAAAGCTGCAATACGGAAAGGCAGGTTTTGGTCCTAATGCATTATTGCCTGAAATTAAGGAGGTAGTGCTCTTAAGATTGCTGCACTGTAAATTTAAACGAGATATTAAGAAAAAGTACAAGGAAGTGGAACAAGTTCCTTGGGGGAGCAGTGGAATCTTCTGTGGAGGTTTTAATGGGTTCACATTATACACCAGCAAACTCCGAAGAAAACCGCTAGCATATAATTACCGTGCAGAACATCCATACGAATAAGCTGCGATTTTGGATGACTAATCTTGTCTGTATGTTAAATCCCATTTGAGTGAAAAGCCCATTCCACTAATATAATGGGGAAATTCAAGAGTCTTGTCAACCACTTGAAACTTTTAAAGAATTAAACATTTTAATAAGATGGATTCTATGCTTTAAAAAACAACAACACCCAGTTGATTGATTAACTGAGGCTGCAATCTTTAAATGCAGTGGGACCTCAAACATGCATATGATTTTGTCCTGTTTTGTCCTTTCCTGTATGTCCACAAAAG